CTTTAAGAATCCGTACTTTTGGGGTTTCGTCTTCTGTTTCCAGCTGTCATTTTTAACTCGTGCCTCAGAGCTGCAGTGAAGTTGCTCCGATGTGCTGTGATTTTTCCCTGAACCAACTGTGGGTCTCTGGTAAGTGCGCACTCAGGCCTTGTTGTATGTGTCACACACACACACACACAAAAAATTAAATAAAAAATCCAGCTTGTGGGGCCTTTTTTTGTGTGTGTTTGCCCCCCTCAGCTGGCTCAGACACTCCTGTTCTGCTGACACTTTGTGTGGGTGTCTGCCTGGAGGAAAAATGCTCCACCTGTAGCCTCTGTTGTTCTGAAGGTGTTTTTATCTCAAGAAGATTTGGCTTTTTAAAGCTCTTCTCGTCCTAATTAGGAACTGAGTGACATTTTTTTTCCCTCTGGAGTTTTTTTTTTTTTCCTGGGGAAGAGCTGTCGTAGGAGACCACTTTAACTTATAGTCTCTGTGAACCTGTTTTGTTAGATTTAAAAGTGTCTCATGAATAATTTCGGTCAYTGCTGTGATGAAAACATGCGACAGTTTAGCTGCAAATAAACTAAATAATTCAACCAAACAATTCATTATGTAATTCTCTCTATGCTGGGGTTAAAAAGGGAGGAGTGTTGAACAGAACGTTCCTGCAACACTTTAGACAAACTGTTGTCACGTGTCTGTGGTAAAGCAGGAAAACATTTAATCCCATTAATTAAAAATGTATTCTTGTTCTGCTAATTATAAGATTAAGGTCAAGATGATGTTCTTCAGTCTTCATCTGGAGAAGAGATGAAACGTTTGTTCAGCAAAAAAAAAAAAGAAAAAAACTCACCAGAGGACCTGCTCAACTTTATTTTTAGACTTAAACATCAAAATGAAGTCAAAACTGTGATTTTTTATTTTTATTTTTTTACCTGAAGCGTATTTGGGGAAACTAAGAGTGGTTTAGACTAATAACTAGAATATCACAGATTACAATAAATGATTTGTTTATATAAAAATGTGGAACATTACAGCTGTAACTCCTACAGATGAGTGCTCAAAACTGCTGCTTCTAGTCCACGTGTCCGTTTCTGTTTTCCACTCCGAGGTCAGAGAGTTTCCAGTTGATGGGTCTTGAAACGGGATTACTTTTTCAGCCATTTAAAGCTCAAACCAATAAAGTCCAAAAAAAGAYGATATGAAGACTCAGTTTAGGTGCCTTATTGCGTTTCAGTGATTTGTTCGTTCACGCCGCTTTTTGAAGGAGGAATAAAAAGTTTCATCAGCGTTATAATTCACTTATCAAAGAAAACCCACTGTGCTCTCTGTATCTGGCCTTGCAATTGAAAAAGGGATAAAGGGTGAAGCATTTCAGCACTGGTAATATTACACAGCTAACTGGCAGCTTTTTCAATAGGGCTCTCGGTGATTTGTGCTCAGCCATTATGCTTCGCCCTCTCTCCCTCCTTCAAAGTACAGGCGTGGGGGGAAAGCAAGGCCTAATTGAGAGGATTTCCAGAGGCTTTGTTGCAGGAGAGCCACAGCATGGACTAGCGCCTTCTCTCCAGGAGAAATGTATTTACAATGCACTATATGCCCATCTCATTTGTCATTGCAGGAAGGAATAATGTGTGTATGTTTCTCCCTTCCTTTATGGCGCRCTTTCATTTGCCGGGAGGCAGAAAATGTGTTTCTCTTTAAACGTCTCCTTCGCGTAATGAAAAAGAACGTGATTTTCATAAATTATCACAACAGAATGTGGTATTTTTATGTTTTTTTTTGTTGTTTTTTTCACAAAATGCGAACCAGCAACAAGTTTTCATAATGGACTTTAGATAGCTGGCTTTTGATATTTTTATGTGACAAATACTCATGTTTTAGGACAAAACTAAATAATAATCTATGTTATAATGGTTTAATGTTAAGTTAACAACAGTGGTAAATGCAGTATATATCACCAGTTCACAACATAGGTCATTTTAGGACAGAACAAACAGAAAAACAAATTATCAGATATAGTTATTGAATACATTCATATTATAATAGCCTAATTTCACATATAGGGTAAAATAGCATGCCGGTAATCAGTGATGGGCACAGTTCTGCTGATTCACAAACTATCTTCTCATTTAGGGGATTCGATTTTTTTTCCTAACTTTAGCATCCACTAAATGATGTTCTGCTAATTTTAAGTCCACTAAAACTTCCATTTTCATACCATTTATCCAGAACTAAAACCTTCCCATCTCCTGTTACAAGCGGAGACGCATCAGGCTCATGTGTTTCATGTAGCATATTTAGCAGCTAAAGTTTAAATTAGGAGAGTCAAAAAGAAATAACATTTAAGAATACTTAAATATAAAAACTGACTATAAAAAAATACGGTAGAGAGGTTGTTTTTTTTTGACTAACTTAAAAATGCTAACTTGATCTAGAAATGCATTTATTCTGAAAGGGATTGGCCGATTTGCCACAGATGATCCCACGCACCTTCAAATTAACTCAGTAGAAAACAAGAAGTTTGCATCTGTCCCACCAGTCTTCAGCTGGAAAGAGATGAAGGCTGACRGTCATCTTAGTGGTTAGCGTTAGCTTCCACTCATTTTTTTTTTAATATCCGTTCAACAGTTTAGCGTTAGCAGCCCTGAGATTCTTGTTTAGCGGATTAGTGGTTAGTGAAGCCAGCTTCTTGGTTAGCTGTACCCACCACTGCCTATAATAAAAAATCTCAAAGGATATTTGCATAAAAGCACATTGGTGACAGTGGGAAGGAACAACTCC